CAGAATGTGCACATTATTTATGAACATCCCAATTTTATCAAGTTTTCCAAGGAAAACATACTATTATCATTCATTAACCAATAACATAATGTTTTCCAGGAACTCATCATTGAGAGAAATCCTGTGGCCCTTCCCTGTACTTGAAGCACACGGAGCATGAGAGATTACAAAGTTGAAGAAATGCTGGCTCCCTAGCACAAGAGACATTGAACTCTAAGTCGTCTCCAGCTGAAGGAAAACAGCCAACACTTCCCTACAGTGTAAATTCAAACAGGGGGAAAATGAACATCACTAACTGTACCCCAGAAGCCAGTGTGGCTGTGACACCGAAGACCATCACTGAGAAGATGCTCATTTCCATGACTCTAGTGATCATCACCACCTTGACAATGTTGTTGAATGCAGCCGTTATCCTGGCCATCTGCACCACCAAGAAGCTCCACCAGCCTGCCAACTACTTGATCTGTTCTCTGGCTGTGACAGACCTCCTGGTGGCAGTTCTTGTCATGCCTCTGAGCATCATGTACATTGTCATGGACAGCTGGAAGCTTGGGTACTTCATCTGCGAGGTGTGGCTGAGTGTAGACATGACCTGCTGCACCTGCTCCATTCTTCATCTCTGTGTCATTGCCCTGGATCGGTACTGGGCCATCACCAATGCTATTGAATACGCCAGGAAGAGGACTGCCAAAAGGGCGGGGCTGATGATCCTCATTGTCTGGACCATCTCCATCTTCATCTCCATGCCCCCTCTGTTCTGGAGGAGCCACCGCCGGCTCAGCCCACCTCCGAGTCAATGCACCATCCAGCATGACCACGTCATCTACACCATTTACTCCACACTGGGGGCCTTTTATATCCCTTTGACTTTGATCCTGATTCTCTACTACAGGATTTATCATGCAGCCAAGAGCCTCTACCAAAAACGAGGATCAAGCCGGCACTTAAGCAACAGAAGCACAGACAGCCAAAATTCTTTTGCTAGTTGTAAACTTACCCAGACTTTCTGTGTGTCTGACTTCTCCACCTCAGACCCTACTACAGAATTTGAAAAGATCCACACTTCCATCAGGATCCCTCCCTTCGACAACGATCTAGATCACCCAGGAGAACGCCAGCAAATCTCTAGCACCAGGGAGCGAAAAGCAGCACGCATCCTGGGCCTGATTTTGGGTGCATTTATTTTGTCCTGGCTTCCATTTTTTATCAAGGAATTGATTGTAGGTCTGAGCATATGCACTGTGTCCTCTGAAGTAGCTGACTTCTTGACCTGGCTTGGTTATGTGAATTCTCTGATTAACCCCCTGCTCTACACGAGTTTTAATGAAGACTTTAAGCGGGCCTTTAAAAGGCTTATTAGGTGCCGAGAACATGCATAGATGTAAAAAGCCAAAAGGCAAGACTTTTATCAGCCTCATGAATGGTTAAGCGTGTAGGTACAACTTAATATTTTTTAGCATAATTGGTTCAGGAGAGGTTGTAAGTATATGTCATCTTGATTTTTGTTTGCTTAGTTCTGTTTTGTTTGAGGCTTGTTGTTTAGTGTTCTGTTTCTACCTCTGGTTTTATTTGTGGTATGTAATTTCAAATAAACTTTATAATACAAAGAGATAATAATAAGGTAAAATAGTAGATGCTTTTTATATTTTACAGATACTTCAATTTTTGCTGTGATTCAAGAATGCCAAAAATCATTATTTGCAAAATGTCTTATTATAAGTGACTTACCTGGTAACTTGTCCTCGTGTGCCACCAGATTGAGGTCATGATTCCCTATGCATTCAAACCCCGGTAAGAATTGCATGACTTCACCAAGAATAGAGACCTGAGCTCACGTCCTTTACTGGCGTGCCGTAAATCCATAGCCCATTCTGCTGTCTTCATCAGACCGTGATTAAAATGAACACCCTAATGTTCTCAAAAGACTCTGGAGTGAACGCGCTGGCACTTTTCGCAGTCTTGTACTATAAATGAGAACAAATGAGAACCTAAATGTACCTTGGTCCGTGTGTTACTGTTCCACCTGGGGGACAGATCGGCCTTCCTCCCTTTCTAGGAGTGTCCTGGCCACGCTTCACACATGTTTTCTCAGTCTGAGCAGAGTTAAGATGAAAGTATATGTTCAATACGGGGGCATGTTTAAGAAGCTTCACAGAGGACTGTGACTAAATGGTGGACTGTTTTATCTGAAGAAGTTCACTGGAAAAATTCCGGTCGTACACATGGAAAGCAATACGACATTGAAAACCTATGTTTACAGCAAAATCCATCCGTTGCAAAATGAGTATGTTATTCTTCTCCTGGAATTCCTGGGACATCCATGCCAGACTGTACTGTGGGGCCAAGAGGCTGCAGGTGGGACCCAACACCACACGGTATGTGGCCTGACTCTGCCACCCCTAAGCAGGACAGACTGCTCTAGTCATATGAAGGACCTCCCTGCGAGGGCCAGCATGATGGCAGAAAAGACTGGAAGTTTGTACATTCTTGTGATACATCATGCTAAGTAAATGACTGTTTTCAATCCCTGTTTCTCATCTCTCATGCACATCTGTTGCCCATCTCTTCATTCTCCATAAATCACCTTTGTCTTTGTATATTCAGAAGACAGGGGTGTGCCTCCTCTACAATACAGTGCTGTCATTGATTCGCTATCACTCCTCTTGAAGTAACCTCTCTATTCCTGATATCTATCCCCTTTTCTTTCTCCTTTCCTGTAGTCCTGCTCCTTTCTTCTCCCCTCCCTCCTCCTCCTCCTTTTTCTTCTTCTCCTTCACCTCGTTCTTCTGGTTCTCTTTCCCCTCCTCTTTTCTTTCTTCCTCTCCCTCTCCGTGTTCTTCTTTCCTCCAACCTCAATCTGATCAAGTCTTTACCTGGACTCCAAAATAATCTTCATCTCGTCTGGCTACCCCACCACGCTCCTACTTTCTATTTCACGTCTCCCAGATGCCTACCTGCCATGTTTTCCCAATCATGAATCTGCTAATTCTGCCTTCACTTTTTAACTGACTCTGACTTTTCTACCCTTTGCCATTTGAGAATTCCCTTCATAGTTGATCTCCCAAATGTCTCCCAAGTTGATCATCCACAGATCATTGGTAGCTTCCCACTAAACATCCTGTGGTTCTTTCCCTGTCTTTATCTACTTCATCTTCTCTCATCCCAATACAGCTAACCATACTTTTTCTTGTATAAACCTATGCCTTCAGGGCTATCTTGCTCACCTGGTTCTTTTACTACCTCCTTAACTTCATACTCTTTAACTCTTTTTATGATCCAGGCATCTCCCCTCCTCTGCCTCAGCTCTCACCGTCTGTATTTCCATATACCATCCCATCCCTTATATTTCAGCAATTACCTCCATTCCTATGGATTGTAAATGTGTGGCTTTAGTTACCATCTACCTATTAATATTCTTCAGTGCCTCAAACACAGCCTTTCCAACTGAACAGATGATTATTTCTCTGTACTCAAGCCTTGTCCTTCTCCCAGCTTCTCAGTCTCACATCACAGCATATTATCTTTTTGATCATTCACACTAAACAGGCGTGATTCTCTATCTTTGTCTGTTGCCTCCCACATTCAGATAACCTTAAAGCCTTGTCCATTTGCCTCTATGTAGTTTGGTTTGGGGGGGGTTTTGGTTTTGAAATCGGCCCCATTCTTCTCTGGCAATTTGATCTTTTTACCAGGACCAAATGCTTTTATAAGATAGATCATGCTTCTGAACTTCTCAATTGACAACTCTAGCCCCACACACCTTCCAGATATATCTTCCTGAAACAGTGGTTGTCAAAATGATGAGTCCAGACCAGCAGTGTCTGCATTACCAAGGAGCTTGCTCAAAATGCAATCAAAGACACACACCCCTTCAGAACCACTGGGTCAAAAGTTCTTAGAGAAGGACCCACCAATCTGTTGTAACAAGTCTTCTAGGAGATTTGGTGCACAGTAAAGTTTGAGAATCACTATTCTAAAACAAATCATTGACTCCTTGTGGCAGAATTCAAAAAACCTCGACTATTTCCCCATTAATACAACAATTAATTTGATGGCAACTGATAAAGCCAGCAATAGCATTCCAGGTTTCTTCACTATGTGTCTTCAAACTACCTTTCCTGATTTTGTCTCATCACATTTCCCATTCACCTCATAGTCCAGGGAAGTCTGAATCTTACCTGTGTTTTCAATTCCAGCTCACCTGTTCCCAGCGCTTGGGAAACCTGACCCATGGCTTCCTGCCCTTCTCCCACCAATCCTTCAACATGTAGCTTCCACATGCTATCTCTTCTGTAGAGGCCTCCTGGGATTCTCTGCCCCTCCCTGTCTTTCTAGGAGTTGTCTCTCCCAACTCTATGCTCTCATAGAAACTCATCTGTATCCTATTATCATAAGCGTTCTGTCCTCTAATATATGTGTGTGTATTTGTGCTGTCTTCCCTCATAGACTGTGAGCTTCTTGAGGACAGGAAATGTTTCTGTCTCATACCTCTATCCCTAGGATGTCTACCGTGTTTTGCATACAGTAGACACCCAATAAATGTCTGTGGATGGAGTTAAGTCCCTGGAAGAGAAGATGTAAATATGCCATCATCTCTCACTGAGAAAACTAAACTACTTTGTTCCTACAACTTACTCTACCATTCCCACCTTTGTTCTAAGAAATGTTGGGAAATGCTTCTGCATAGGGAAAAAAAGGGGGGTTGGATGGGGAGCATTTCTCATGGACCATAAATAAAGACCCTAAGTGAGAAGGATTCATACTAGGTTTTACTCTTTAAAATATAGATCCTCAACTATGACAGCTCAAACACGATACCATTTCTTTCTCTCTCCCATGATAATGAAGAGGTTGGAGACATCTGCTTCACAACATTATCCACAGACTCGAGTTCTTTCCATATTGTGGTTCTGCATTTTGAAGGTGGGCCAAGGAATATCATGAATGTATAGCAAGAATAAAAAGGCAGTGTAGTCCTACTCTCTCACCTTACACTATAGATAAGGATCGTTGTGAAGATTTCTTTCACATACAGAGGATTCAATATGCCAATAAACAGCTTTGTCTTGATGAACTAGCTAGAGCAGAGAACACTTTGGGGAACTGTTCGTTTTAGATTGAAAATATACAGATTAGTATTAAACTCTTCTGGGGCCTCCTCTAACATCAAAGATTATGGTTCCTTGCGACAGAGAGGCCACAGATACCAACTACACAACAACAATAACAACAGCAAGGGTGCCTATTCAAAACCACGATCGACCTGTTATCATGAAAGCAGCACTAAAAGATTGGATTCCCTTAAAACATGTCTGCCATCTGCCTCCAGGTGCCCTGCAGCCCTCCACATTAGATTTGCCCTATTCACCATCATTATATATCTCTTTATATAACACCATATAGTCTGCATATAATATAATAATCATAGCTAACGCTTAAATAAATATCTCTGGAAGTGCAACAGTTAAGCATTCAACGGCTAACCAAAAGGTTGGTGGCACAAAGGCACCCTGCCCCAGCACTGCTGAGGGACCAAAACCATCTGGCGATCTGCTCTCCTAAAGATTACAGTTTAGGAATCCCTCAGGAGCAGTTCCACTCTGTCACATGGGATGAAATATACTTGACAGCACCTAACAACGGCAACAACAACACTTAATAGCATTTACTACTACACAGCCCAGGTACTGTTCTAAGTATATGCATACACACACA